GCAAGCCAGCCAGAGCGCATAGATGTCCGCTCTTCATCCCGGAAGGGCCCTCTCTGGAGGGGTTCAGGCTCTTCTAGGCGGAGCCAGCTGGAAGTCCCCACAGAGCAACACAGCCACACCTCCAGTTAACCAGAAGCCCGTCCTGGGAGATCACAGTCACCCAGGACAACAGTCGCCTGGGAGTGAGCAGACCTAGCGTGGGGCAGGCGCCCTCTCCCGTGGAGTGCGTGTCAGTGCCCTTTCAAGTCCGAGCTCCACGGTCTCCACGCAGCTCGTGTCTTATGCCCTAAAGCAACAGGCATAACCAGTCAGCAAAGGACATCCAAAGACAGGGGACACATCCTTACCGTTTTCTAATAAATCAGGGTCCCTCTGGCCCCAGGACTCTTTGGGCTCACTCCTTCTCCAGCTCTTTTTTTTTTTAGCAGAATCCAGGGAACATTCTTTTCCAAGGTTAAAAAACAAACAAACAAACAAACAAATCAACACATTGACCCCTACTGGTCAAGCCATCTAATTGCAGAAGATATTTTGTTGGCTTTTATCCACTTTTCTTCTAAGTGCACAGAGCTTCATTGTTTTTGAGAAAGAGAAGGAAGAGATGAGGTTCTGCCTAACTTTGGTCTTCACTGCATACCAACCTTGGTTGAAACCGTACCCCAGTGCCCTCCCGCCCCTTCCTCCAGGCTGCCTCCCTTGGTTGAAGCAGTGAATAGAGCCATTTCAGAAGCAAGACCTACTGTGGTCCAGCTCACACTCAGCTTGGCTGACAGGCTCTGACCTGACCCTTGGGGAAGGTAGAGTGGGGTGGCGCTCTCTAGTGGATGGGGCAAGCAGGGAACGACCCGTTCCCTCCTACCCTGGCGCTTTGCTGCCATCTGGTTGGCGGAGTCTTGTTTTTCCCAGATCTGTACCAATCCACAGTTGCCCCCACACACATATACACATGAACCTGAATGGCAATAATTTTCTGAAGGAAACTATCAAGACGGAGAAAAGACTGCTCAGCAGCAGTTAACAGTGGTAGCAGCTCATCTCACTTTTCACCCCTAGCTTTTTTTTTTTTTTTTTTTTTTTTTTCGAGACAGGGTTTCTCTATGAAGCCCTGGCTATCCTAGAACTCACTCTGTAGACCAGGCTGGCCTCGAACTCAGAAATCCGCCTGCCTCTGCCTCCCAAGTGCTAGGATTAAAGGCGTGCGCCACCACCGCCCGGCTACCCCTAACTTTTCAAGCCTGTCCCCTGAGGGCTAGTGTGGCAAGGGCTGCCCTTCAGTCTTCCTGTAGGGTCTAGAGCCTTCAAATGATCCCAGACTCAGCCCTGTTCTCTGTTTTTCAATGAAAATACTCAGGAGGCCTTCAATCATGCCATTCTCAGTGATATAACCCACCAACACCCACCACCAAGGAAAGCCCACCCAGAAAAACTTTGGTTGAACCATTTCTAGAGAATAAGACAAAACATCTAGGCTTACATGTCCCAGAACCCTGGGGTGCAGTCCTGCAGATGGGAGACCATCTAGCCTCCACCCCGTCCTGCCTTTTGGGGCCTGCTGTTCAAAGCCAGCTCTCGGCTGCATCCTTGGGACCTGGCCCCGGACAGAAGGGGCAGGAAGTGCAAGAGCCTAGGCTTCCCAGTGCCCGCTTGCCTTCTCCACTTCAGGGGATACAGAGCCCTATTCTCCAAGGTCCCCAGGTGTCTGCAAAATCTGGATACCCCATGACTTGTGAGCTAAGGATGTTCCAGGAGAGGTGAGCGGTCCTTGGGAGAGCTCTTGGTATCTGGGGAAGTTGGGGAGCACTCATGAATTTTCTGGGTGTGTTTTGAAGATGCTTGCGGAATTAATGCTAACATGAAAGCCACATGGTTGGGGGTGAGGAAGGAGTCCGTGCTGTGGATGGTCACCCACATGCAACCCAGAGCCAACAATGGACAGTGACCCTCAGCCAGGCTGAACACACAGAAAGGCTGAGAGGAGGGGAGCGTCAGTGCTCAGGTCTGGCTTGCTCCAGGACCCTCTCTCTAACCCAGAACCTTGCCACCTGCTTGGACACAGTCAAGTCATAGTCAGGAGTGGGGACAGAAACCGAGCCACAGGACAGGCCAACCAACTCCTGAAGCACAGCCATGGGCGTGACCCCCGTGCCCACCCCCTCCAGTTACGGCATCAGAGTATCCGGGCCACAAGTCAAGCACCATGGTCTCTTTGGATTTCATTTTTCTTTTGTTTCTTAAATTACATTTGAACACAGAACACGTAGAATCATAAATACTCTTAGAAGACACGACTCCATAAAACGAGGAAACAGAACAAGCCAGGGAAAGGTGCAGCCATCATGTGGGCCTTTCTCTCTTTCCTAAGAGACTCTTGTACAGAGGAAATCTATGAAGGCCACCAGTCGCCCCGCTTCCCCCCACCCAGGGACCACTGGCGTTGCTGCCCTGATGTTTGGTGCATCTCCCATGGAACCGGTCAGAGATAAACATGCCATTATTTGCAAAATTATAATTTAACGGTATAAAGCTTCAAGTCACATAATCCCAAAACTAGCTAAGGTTTTTTTTGTTTGTTTTGTTTTTAGTTTTTGATTTTTTTTAGCACATAAACTATACATTAAATATTTTGAGGTATTTCAGAGAGAATTGTCAAAGGCTAGAAGGAATTGTGCTGGACTGTGTGTTCCCTTTGTAGGAAAGATCTTTGGTAGGTAAGGACCAGAAGGTGTCTGGAGCAGATGGAGGGATGGAGAGCCATCTGGGCTTAGAGAGGGCCCTGATGTGTGTGTGTGTGTGTATGTGTGCCTGTATGCCTGTGGGTGTGTGCCTGTGTGTATGGGTGTGTGTGTGTCTGTGTGTGCCTGTGTGTGTGTATGTGTGTGCCTGTGTGTGTGTATGTGTGTGCCTGTGTGTGTGTATGTGTGTGCCTGTGTGTGTGGGTGTGTGTGTCTGTTTTAAAATTTATTTTTTTTAGTCAGGCAGTGATGGCACACGACTCTAGTCCCAGCACTTGGGAGGCAGAGGCAGGCAGATTTCTGAGTTTGAGGCCAGCCTGGTCTACAGAGTGAGTTCCAGGACAGACAGAGATACACAGAGAAACCCTGTCTCGGAAAACAAAAAGCCAAAAACCAAAATATTTTACTTTTAATCATATATGAGTGTGTGCACGTGAGTGTGGGTACCTGGGAAGTCCTAGGAGGGCATTGAGTCCTCTGCACTAGAGTTATGGGTGATTGTGAGTGGGTGCTAAGAACCCAGACTGGTCCTCAACAAGACCAGCCTGCTGTCTTCACCACTGAGCCATCGCTCTAGCCATGTGTGTGCGTGCGTGCGTGTGAGCATGCGTGTACCTGCCAGCATGGGCTTTTGTGTGTGGGTGTGCTATGTATGGGGAGACCTGTCACTTGATGTGTGGGAACAGGGGACTCTCTTCACTCTGAACATTCTGCCTCACACCGGAAGGCTCTAGAAGCATCCATCGGAGCTGCTCCCATGGGAGAGAAAGCAGCAAATCACTGAGGACAGAGGACACTCTACACACATCTTTGGTTCAATAAAAAGGCACTCACCGACCTTGCTGTCCTCCTGTCCCTCTCTCTCTCTCTCTCTCTCTCTCTCTCTCTCTCTCTCTCTCTCTTTCTCTCTTTCTCTCTCTCTCTCTCTCTCTTTCTCTTTCTCTCTCTTTCTCTCAGGTAGGGGACAGCCATGGGATGAAAGTGGGGACACCCTGGCTTCCAGCACAAACCCTTAGGGGTGGGGGAATCTTTGGTATCAGACGTGATCTTTTGAATCACAGCATGGGCTCAGTGAGGTAGCCTTTACAGGATGGGGGAGGGTTCCTTTTTCTCACTAGAAAGTTCTCTTGCATTCTCTAGGGAAACTGGGGAGGGGGGCCCTCCCTGGGAGGCAGACATGGGAGTGGGGTTCAGTGGAGAGGGATTCCCAGGATCTTGAATCCCAGAGGGGGAGGGGAAGAGACAGCCTCCTGGGACTTGGCTGCCAGGGCAGTCTTGAAATGTCACCCAGAGAGCTGAGCAGGGGGTGGCCCCTTGCTTCTGACCCTTCCCCATTGTACATCTTTGGCAAAACAATGGAGCAGTTTTCAGCTTCATCTTCTCTCTTCTGAGAGAGGTGTCACCAATGCAAGGTTTATCCTCAAATGTCCTCTGTGGGGTGCTCAGGTGTGCACCCCAATCAACTGAAAGACGGGGATGAATTCCAGAGATTTCCAGAACTTTGCATCCAAGGGCCACCGATGGTGCCTCCATGCCCCCTCCCCCAGATCTGGGGGAATCTGATGTCCCTCCCCTGAGATCTGGGGTGTCATCTTTGCTCTCTGGTGACTTATGTGTAGCATTCTTTACATAGCAAGGTGCGTATAGTGACCTCAGCCAGGGCTGCTGGGATGGAGGCATTCAGGGCAGCCCTCCTCTCGAATCTGTCACCCTCTTCACAGCGGACTCCCCACAGCTCCCCTCCCAGCGTTAAGGCAGGGGATTGTTGGCACAGGCTATCCAGGCCGCTGGGGTCGGGGTGGCAGCTGGGGTCTCGTCCTGCAGGGTGGGAGCGTGGCATGGAGGACGGGGATGGGCATGGAGGGCTGTAAGGATCCAGCTCATTGTCAGTTTTGGCCACTTGGGATGGGTCTCAGTTCTTGGGGAGGGGACAAGGGGACAGAGACCTGGCCTGGAGGAGAAAGTGGGGGGGGGGAGACGGGCAGATGTCTGCCTCCCCCCTTTGAGGAGGTCTGGGATCTGGAAAGAAGGGTTCTCTATTAAAATCATTTTTAAATACCCGGGATTTGTAAGATGTGCTTGATTCTTGACCCACTCTACTCTCGGGGTCCCTTTGGAATCCAAAATTGAGCGGGAGGGGGCTGGGGTTGTCCCTGTCCCCTGGGGGTGGGGGTAGGGCTTGCTTTGGCTGGGTCAGGGACGGGCCCCTCACTCCCCGGGGCTGGCATGTGCGGTCCCCGGGGCTGGGGTAAGTGTCGGGCAGAAGGCTCAGGCCTTGGAGAAGGTGGCTGTGGCTGTGGCGGTGCCAGGTGTGGCGCCCGGTTCCTCAGCCCAGCGGTTCATGCAGCGGCGACGGGCGTTCATGAAGAAGTTGCTGACCGTGTTGAGCTCCAGGCCCAGCTGCTGCGAGATGGTGGCTTGCATCTCCTTGGACGGCCGCTTGTTCTCCTTGAAGATGGCGATCAGGGTGCGGCGCTGCAGGTCTGTGAACACCAGGCGCTGCTTCTTCGGCTGCAGAGCCCTCTCCTTCTGCTGATCCTGCTCCTTACGTTTGCAGGCTGGGAAGGAGAAAGAAGGGAGAGAGAACACCACGGGGGTGAGGGGACACAGCCACATGAGGGGGGCAGAGCACCGAGCAGGGATGAGGAACCGTGAACAAGAGGATGGGGCAGGGACAAAGGATGAAGGAAGGGGTGTGGGGGAGGAAGAGGACGGAGGCACCATGATGAAGAGGTGGGACACCCAAGGGATAAAGCACTGGGGAAGGATGGGTGGGGAGGGGCACGGAAGGGCAGGAGGCCAGGCGGACACTGAGTGGAAGGGTCAGCCAGGGAGCAGAGGGCACACGCTGGAAGCCTTTAGAGGATGGAGAGAAGAAAGCGGAAAAGAAGGAAGAGGAAGGGCCGGGAATCAGTGGACCACGAGAGGAGAGACAGGCAGAGACAGCCAACAATGGAGGACAGGACAAGCTAGAGGGTCGTAGAAGACGTGGAGTCACGCAGTGTGGGGACAGAGACAAAGCAAGGGGCAGCTGGATAACACAAGTCTGAGCTATCACCTGCTGCAGCAGAACCTCCAGAGAGGAGCTGTCCTCAGCTGCTAAAGGCAGTCCTCCCCGCTAGTCCTCCCTTCCAGTCACTTCAGCAAGGGCTCCTGACTTCAACCCCAACTCGGGCCCCTTCCCCCAACGGTGGATGTAGGTATAGCATATCATACCTGACGTGCTGCAATCCCACGTGTTGGGGACAAGATGGGGACTCAGGTGTGACTGATCTGAAGAAGATGTGGCTGACATCATCTGTGATGATGTAGGCCCTGGGTTATATCTCAAGCAGCAGAGAGTCCTGACCACCTGTTGACCCAGCCCTGGAACTCCTGGGACATGTCCACCTCAGTTTGGGCAGAAATTGAGTTCATAGCCTTTGTCTGTTGCAAGCCATCCCCCTGCCTAAAATCTCCCAGGGAGAGGTTAGGGGCATGGCTTGGGGGTAGAGGGTCTACAAATTGGAGTTAGAATGGTTGTCATTTGGTCTAGATGCAACTCAAAACCAATAAGCAGAGAGAGGGTGACAGTTTGTGACATAATTCAGAGGGTAAAAGCTTGCCACCCACACTCAGTGACCTGAGTTCACCCCTGGAACTTGCACAAAGGCAGAAGGGGAGAATCAACTGCTTGCTTCTTTGGGCAAGCATTGGTGGCACACATCTTTGATCCCAGCAGTCGGGAGGCAGAGGCAAGAAGATCTCTGAGTTCAAGGTTAGCCTGATCAACAGAGGGAGTTCTAGGACAGCCAGAGCTACACAGAAAAACCCTGTCTCAACAAAACAAAACAACATTGTCTTTGACCTCCATCGGTGCACCACGGCATGTGTATACACGCATGCATCATGCATACACACGTCAACAACAACAATTTTTTTTTTGAGACAGGGTTTCTCTGTGTAGTCCTGGCTGTCCTGGAACTCACTCTGTAGACCAGGCTGGCCTCGAACTCAGAAATCCGCCTGCCTCTGCCTCCCAAGTGCTGGGATTAAAGGCGTGCGCCACCACCGCTGGCTAACAACAACAAATTAAACAAAAATTTAAATAAATAGGTGTGATGGTTAAAGTTAATTGACAACCTGACAGAAATTAGAATCACCCAGGAGACGAGTGTCTATGTTCGTCTGCAGGGGAATGATGCCCACTGTGGGTGGCACCATTCTCTAGGCTAGGATCCTGCTCACTGTGGGTGGCACCATTCCCTAGGCTGGGATCCTGCCCACTGTGGGTGGTGGCAGCATTCTATGCTGGGATCCTGGAGTAAGTGCCCTAGCACACACGCATGCTCTCACTGTCTTTTCTGACTGTAGACATAGTGTGAGCACCTCCCTCAGCTCCTAAAACATTCACTTCCCCAAAGCAACGAACCCAGAACTATTTGTCAAACAAACCCTTGCTCCCTTGAGTTGGCTTTTGTTGAAGTATTTTATCCCAGTGATAGGGAAGGAAGGGAGGAAGAATCAGGACTGAAGAACATGGCTTTCATGTGGATGAATGGAAACGGGTATCTTTGTGTCGTTTCAGAACCCCGAGAATAGACAGAAAATCCCTAAAGCTTCCAGAAGGGAAAGGCAGATGCCATGGGAAAGATCTAGAATCAGAGTATCTGTTAGGTCCTCAGAACCTAGGAAACAAAAATTCCAAGGAAAGGGTCAGAGGTGGCTCAGCACGGAAGAGCACTTGCTGCTCTTGCAGGGACCAAAGTCCAGTTTCTAGAACAACACTGCAGCTAACCTGCAACTGCAGCTCCAGAACAACCACAGCTCCACAGGATTCTACGCCTTCTTCTAGCCTTTCCGAGAACTGGCATGTACAGAGACACACTCAGATACATAATGAAAAATAAAATAGGCAGCTGGGGGTGGCATATGCCACTAGTCCCATCATTTGGGAGGCAGAGGCAGGCAGATCTCTGTGTTCGAGGCCAGCCTGGTCTACAGAGTGAGTCCCAGAACACCCAGGGTTACACAGAGAAACCCTGTCTCAAACAAACAAAACAAAAATAAATTAATTAATTAAAAAAGACACAAGGAGAGGCTGGAGAGATGGTTCACAACCATCTGTAATGGGATCCGATGCCCTCTTCTGGTGTGTCTGAAGAGAGTGTCAGTGTGCTCATGTACATAAAATAAATAAATCTTAAAAAAAAAAACCCACAAAAAGTAAAACTAAACAATCTTCAAACAAATAGGGTGAGGGGAATTGAGGGCCTCTGACCTCACACGTGGGTGTGTGAGCACAGACTGAGAGTTCAGGCAAAGGCAGCAAAGGGACCCGTTTTGCTCACCCTGACTTACCCTCATGATCCCTGGCTCACACACTCACCCTGACGTATCCGGCTTGCATGCTTACTTGAGCTCAGCTGATTTCCTTCCAGTCTTTCTTTTTACAAAAGAAAGGCTTTTGCTTGTTTGTTTTTGTTTTTAGTTGAAGGTAGGGCAGTGCTGTGCATGTGTATGTGCAATACTTGCCCAAGCCAGATCACCGGGAGCTGGAGTCCCGGGCGGCTGTGAGCTGCCTGGTGTGGTCACTGGAACTGTAGCTACCATTCCACAGTTGTCCCCCACACACACACACACACACATGCCTTCTCTACTCACACAGTTCAGAACCCAAATTCAGGGACAATGTACCAATCTTCTTCCCACCTAAGGTAACACAACAGAGACAACCCCTTGGCCAGTTATGGTGGTGTGTGACTTTGATCCCAGCACTCGGGAGGCAGAGGCAGGTGGATATCTGTAAGTTGAGCAGCCCAGTCTACAGATCGAGTTCTAGGACAGCCAGGGCTGCATAATAGAGACACCTTGACTCAAACAAAAACAAAGCACAAAGGTGACCTCACAGACAGTCCCACAGCCGCCTAAACTACTGTCCCTCACCGAAACCCCCTTCTCCAGTGGTCCTTGGTTGCTTCAAGTGGACAATGATAATGGACTATCGCCCAGCCAAGCTACACGACAAGACCTGGCTTCCATCCTGAGCCCTGCAAATACACACATAGATCTGGCAAAGGCAGGCTGGCAGCTGGTGCACCGTGCTGTCTTCAGGGTACGGAGTCAGGGTGAGCTGTGGATGGACAGTGACAGGAGCGAAGGAAGATGTGCTTCCTTGAGGATGCTCAGGATGTGGCTGCCCTACAATGTTCATGCGGCATCAGAGGCTCATCCTGGGATGAGGACCCAACTAGAAGAAGAAATTATCCATCCACCCACCCATCCATCCATCCACACATCCACCCACCCACCCATCCATCCA